TGTGTAAATATTATTTTTCAATATGGTATCGTCACAATGGTTAGTCGCGTGACTACAGTTTCCTTCGCATAATAGTAGATAATCAAGAGGCTGCCTACGGCATTCTGTTATTATGACAGCTAAATTATCTCTCACTCACTCACAGACATATTCATACACACATTATAGTTTTTTTTTTTTTTTATCAGTCGTTTGTTACGTGATGCTCGATATGCGCCCAAATTACACCAAGATTCGACTAGTGACATGTAAACTGCCAGAAGAGTGTGGTCAGAGAATGTTTAGATAAATAAATTCACCTTCATTGATCATTCTGGCATCACTAACCATTTTTACACATAAAAAAGCTCTGTAGATACTGATATATTTCAGTTTAACACAACACACACACGTCCCGCATATATATATATATATATATATATATATATATATATATATATATATATATATATATATATATATATATATATAGAAAAAAAAAGAAAGAACAGTAAGATATATAATCCGGTGTTCTTATAGATATTTTTATTTTTACAAAATAGTGCTCGATGTAAATTTACAGAGCATTAATATTATAAATTAATTGATTTAAAATATGTTTTTTTTCCATTACACAGTTCTAACCATGTTTCAAAAATGGAAGCTAAAAGCCCCGAATTTAATTTTGTCATACACATAATATAAATACACATACTTATAATTTTAGCTGTGTATGTAAAACCCAATAATTTTAAAAGTTAGTCCAAAACTCGCTTGAGGATGAAATGAAATGGAACTAATGTCTTTAATTTAATTACAAAATTAAAATCGGGGCTTTTAGCTTCCATTTTTGAAACATGGTTAGAACTGTGTAGCGGAAAAAACATATTTTAAATCAATTAATTTATAATATATATATATATATATATATATATATATATATATATATATATATATATCGTAAAGAGTCAGGAACAACACATCTAGGTTCAGGATTTATCCCTGCTCTACTTAGCGTATTTGAGCACTCTACGTTTTAGCATTATTACTGCTTGGTTGTTTTTTTTTTTTTGGGAATAGAAACTTAAGGTATTCGCCGATTTGTTTCGCCCTGTTTGATTGTTTCTAGTTCTTTCATTTTTTTTTTTCCTCGGGTACGAAATTTCTTTTGATAGACTTACAAGTTGTGCTATCCGAGGATTTTTTTTCCAAATATCGATTATTACTAGTAGTAATAATATATATATATATATATATATATATATATATATATATATATATATATATATATGTATGTATGTAGTATATAATTGGTATATGTGGAATGAATTCCAATAACCAACAATTACTATTCTTAAAAGAGTGCTCAATACAAAGTAGAGCAGATATAATAATTTTTTATAAAAAACAAAAATTCATAACATAAAGATGTTATAAAATCACTACAAAAATAGCCATTTTGTTTCAACACCCTTGGTGTCTTATCAAGTGATGATACTATACTTGGATTTTGATTGGTCATTCTATCTTTTGTAACAATGTTTTCCCCTAGCGAAGGATCGTTAATTAATTTGAAACTTTTAAAACCATTTATTTTATATTCAACATCATCACTTGATAAGACACCAAGGGTGTTGAGACAAAATGGCTATTTTTGTTGTGATTTTATAACATATTTATGTTATAATTTTTTTTTTATAAAAAAATAATTATATATATATATATGTGTGTGTGTGTGTGTGTGTGTGTGTGTGTGTGTGTGTGTGTGTGTGTGTGTGTGTATTTTAAAACTTTCGGATAAGTTATTGAGTATTATGCTCGAAGTTATGGATAAAAATCCGAAGTTCATTTTCTTTCATTTTTCTTTTAGTACCTTCGACTTTCCAGTCATTATCAAGAAATGATGTGGTTTCCTTGCCGTAGATTTAACTCCTTTGTCTATAACATTCAGACGCTGGATTTGTGAAATTGTCTTACATAATGTCATGTGTAGCTTCTCAGTAAAAACATTCCGATTATTTTATATTATTTTATCAATTAATTAAACATCCTGAGTATGACGATAAACTACGTCCAACATCTTGGCCTCCAATCAGGAGGTTTTGAGGAGCGTAGAACCACCTCTTAATTGCTGGTGTTCCCAGATCCATCCTGACCATCCTGTTAGGGTCCCACGTATGGGCAAATAGTTATCCCCCAAACTGGGGTCAAAACACTATGAAAGTGTAAAAATAGGTTTTAATAACAGCAATAAACTTTTTGGGGAAGAATTATTACCAGCAATGACAGAAAATATTACCAGGAATAAAAAAAAAAAAAAAAACTTGTCGGCATTGAAAAACCCATTGAGGTTGATATACCGTAAAACAAAAGAAAACAAACAATTCATTTGTTAATTTTTAATACGAATATAATATGTGCACTTATTAATTATATCATATACACTTCAATATACCATCCCCTGTGGTGAATGACATGTGGGTTGTTTATTTTGTATAATAATATCTTATAGATTTTTTACTCATTCCTTGCAACTAGGTCTCTAGAGTATTTTGCTGTGGTCAACTAATATTTGTCTTATGTTGATTGTTACATTTTGGTCATTCATGACGTGCACGGATTGCATCGACGTCATGAATATTTCCTCCGGTAGGAATTTGGCGCTACATATTCTAAGAATTCTTATGTATAACCTTATTATTACAGTTTTATTTTATTGTTTTTATGAGAGTAGAAGTGTATAAAATCATTCTTATTTGTGGATTTCCGATAGTCCTTCATTTATACGTTATTATGTGTACGTATTATGTTATGTTTGTTATGTGTACTTATTTTCATTATGTTTATTATGTGTACTTATTAACCTGACGTCGAGAAATGCTAAAATATAGTTTGATTCTGTTTCGTCAGCGAAAATTGACTAGATTTCCGATACTGTATACTCTATCGACAAGATTTGAAAGTTTTGTATTCTGTAGATATGTCAATAGGGACTAACAATTGGTCAGAAGTAGCTTGCATCTAGGAGAAGAATGCAATGAAAAGGGCCGGAGATTAAACATTCTAGTAGACATGGCAGTACTTCGATGATGCTGTTGAATGTAATATAACATTCTTTTGTAAAGAGACCACGTATATTTAGAATTTTTCTGTTATTAGCGCAAGATTGATTTTTTAAATTTTATGTTTAAATGTCTAAGGAATTTAGGGACGCGTATATTTGTATATAGAGATCATCTCTATATGTTTGCCATCTTTTTAGTTGTTATATTCAAGGACTTCAATTTATTAATGAGATCGTCCGAATTTTTAATGTGAGCTGAACTGCTTGTTCCGAGAAGGGGGATAAGATTTTTGCTATGCCTTTTGCTAATTTGAGTATCTCACTGCTTATCTCGTATAATATAGGTCGCATTGGATTACGTGGTTTGTGTCTCTAGGTTAGGCCATAAATCTTGGCTATAGTTGGATGCTGTTCTCTCAGTTTCGGCAGTAAAACCCTATTTTCGTCCTCACTATAGCGGATGTGCTGACAGGAAGGCTCTTCATTCCGTCGGTTGCGAACTGAAGGTTCGTTTAAAAGGTGGCGTTCAACACGTACAACAACATCACTATCATCTCTTCTAAAAAGCAATAATAACAGTCATATTTACGGGATATATGTTGTTTACGAAAATTGCAAACATTAATCGGCGCATTTTATTTTCCGAAAGGCTGAATCTCCTCACTAGTTGGTAAGCACTTTCATAGCATATGCTATGTAAGAAAAGTACAGGTCACCTGCCAGGTTTTTCAACTTCTATCATAATACCAGTAGCATCATCAGCTCAGCATCATAGATAAAGATGCATAACATTCGGAAGAATTCCACCTTGTATTTCTTTCTCATCATTCTAAGTAAGATTGTATGGAACCATCCGAGTGTAAGATACTCAATACTACATTCATCAAAAGTATTGAGGAATTCAAATATCGTGGATCTCACATAACAGATTGCCAAAGAGACTTCAACATCCGCAAAGCTTTTGAATGGAATGCGTGTAAGAAACTTCGCAAGATTTGTCGCTCGAACCTTCCATCCTCCTTAAAAGTTCAATCCTTTCGAAGATTGATTGAACCAGTTCTACTGTATGGATCTGAAACTTGGACATTATCTGCTCGTCTTGAAAGAAAACTGGATGGAACATATGCAAATCTACTTAACATAATTTACGGAGAATTGAGACCAATCTCTCTTGAGCTCAAACAAAAACAATTACAGTTTTACCGACCACTGCCAGTGAGCGGGCAGGAAAATCTTTTCATTCTTGTTGCTATGGCAACTTTCTGGAAATGTCTTCTCACTAAAATTCACTTTCCCAGACACCATAGCTCGGAACTCAGATTTGGATATTGGGGATCTGCGGACATCAATGCAGGACTACACGGTGTGGAAAAGAATTGTCGGTGAAGTTCCAATCAATCATAGGGAAGTCGAATGATCATGATGATCATGGTGGTGGTGGTGTTGGTGATGATGATGATGATGATGAAAAGTCTCCTTTTTTGTTCTGTCCATTTCCCATGAAACTTCGTTGCTTACGCCCTCCGTCGATGGAATTCTCAGCATTCTTTTAGAGAAGCATATTTTGTAGAAGCTCAAGTCCCTTCTCCGTCGATGAGGAGACAGCTAAGCTTAGGAGAGCAAAGATATTACATAACTAACAGTTCAGCGCTCTTTTTCTTTGTTTCTAAGCAAATTTCCCCTGTTCCGTTATACATTGTTTAACTTCTGCAATAAATCATTCGCTAATGGCTGTAGCAATAATAAAGTGATAAACTGAAAAATACAAACATCGAAAAGGCCAAAAAAAAAGATAAATAAAACGGGAAAGAAATTCATAAAGTGAAAGAAAGAGAGAAGCAAATAAATAATGATACAAAAGTGGGAAATACGGAAGAAGACAAATGGGGAAAGTGTGAAAACAGTATAACAGATAATATTAGAGGGAGAAAACAAAGAGAATTTAATAATCGACAAATTAGGAGAAGAAAGATGTAAAGGAATAGAGGTGGGTGTTACCTGAGTGAGAGTGAGTGAGAGGAGAGATAGAGGAAATATTAAGGAGAAAATATGTAGGAAGTAAGAGTTGAAAAGAGAGGGGTATAAAATATAAAGAGGGAAAGGAAGAGTTGGAAACGATTGATGCGAAATAAAGAAAGCAGAAATCATTTGATAGCATGACAGGGAGTGTAGTGATAACATAGCAGTGAAGTGAATATAAACATAATAGAAATGGGGGGAGCTAATATCAAAAGAAAAAAAAGAAGTGTTTAGAATGTAAGAAGTGAACAGAGGGGGGAAGATAAAAATATGAGAAAGAAGAAGTGTTCGGAATGTAAGAAGTGAATAGAGAGGGGGAGATAATACAAAGAAAAAGAAGAAGAGTTTGAAATGTAAGAAAGAAAAGATTAGAATATAAGAAGTGAATAGAGGCGGTTATGTGAGAATAATTGCATAATACCTTCTTTTCGCCGAAATCGAGGGATTTTTGCAAACATTTCTCCATCCGTAGAAAGTATTTCTATACGAATATATACGTTTTTTTTCTTTATAAATGGCTAATTTTTCCATAGTGTTTATTGTAGCCCTGAGAAGGTGATAAAATGAAAAGTACATACATCGAAAAGGCCAAAAAGAGATATCAAAACGGGAAAGAAATTCATTAAGTGAAAGAAAGAAGAGGCAAATAAATTATGATACAAACTGGGAAATGCTGGAGAAAAAAAATGAGGAAAGATTGTAAAAAGAATAACAGAATTTTAGAGGGAGAAAACTGAGAGAATTTAATAATCGACATATTACGAGAAGAAGGATGTAAAAGAATAAAGGTGGGTGTTACCTTCGTTTGTATTTCTGTGTCGCATTTTTCATCCACTGTTAAATACTTCTCAGACATTTACTTGTTTGATGTTGAGATCTTCAATTCGTCTTTATATATTAAGCTTTTTTTCTCTTTCTGTCTTATTGAAATTGATGGTTGATCTTTTATTCTTGCTTTACATTACTACCTTATCTAAAGGATCTTAAAATATATAAATTGTTTCCAGTATTGAAAATTTTTTTATCCACACAATTATTAAAAGGATTATTATTAAAATAAATTAGTGATGGTGGATGAATTTCATGTATCCAACTTGTTTAATCTTCCAAAGTTTGACATTTAAGGTTGCTGTTTTCAGGATATGTTTCTCTTGCTAGTAGGCCAAAAATTACGACACTGATGTCTGAAGGCGCACTGTGATAGCGAAAGATGACTTTCAGTTGCTAAGTATTAAGAAAGAGGAAAATTATATTAGAAACAAAACAAAGCGTACTGAATTGGGACGTATTATCAACATTCCAATATGGCAGGGAATGCTGGACAATCTCCTCACAGATGAACCGGAAACTTGAATCAACAAAAAAGTGGTTCAACAGAAGGATGCAATGAAATAAATATGTGAGCAACGATGACGTTTTAGAGAAAATGGAAACAGAAAGAACGTTCATAGTCAACATTAGAAAGTGGCAGTTTAAATTTCTAGAGTGCATAATAAAGAAAGACGACTTGAAAAATTTAATGCTCACATGACAGATTGAAAGAGGAACACAACGCATCATCTACCTACCTAGCTCGAGAAGCAAGTTTTACGAAATAATAAAAAGACAAATTGTATTAGAGCTACGAAAGACATGGAATTGTGGATCGCTAATGTTCTGAATGGACTTGGTAGTTACAAGAAGTAAGAAAAGGAAGAAGGCGAGCCTCCCAAAATATTATCTTTTTGTTTTGTTTGATAGTTCTTGTAAGACAAATTTAAACGAAAGTTACTTATCTAATTTCTAAACTGATCGTTAAAGAAATCGACAAAATTGATCGACTCAAACGTCGTGGACACAGAAAAAAAAACACCCGACCCAAAGAATTAGTTTATTATACATGCATAATTCTTTTAAGATAGTCTGTGTTTGTGTTGTCCTCTTACCTTCAAACGGGTTTTCCCTGTCCGTGTATTGATGAGTGAGACAAATGCGCATGCTCGAATATGTGAGCGTCACTGTGATCTTTGTGAAGGTCACTAGCTCAGAAGTAACCTTTTCTTTAAACGAGAGTTTTTAATCTGTGTATTTGACTTGAAAGTATGGGAGAGAAAGAGAGAGAGAAAGAAAAACCTAATCTGTACGCCCCCACTCCAAAATAAAGCAAGCTAAAGCGAACAGCCATGTTTTTCAAGTGACTTTGATCAACATGTTTTCGCGAACGACGTCAGAGCTGACAGCTTTGATGTTTAGGCCAAAGTATTAAGACCCTGACGCACAAAAAAATATTGATGCTAAAAGCTTCTGCTCATATATATATATATATATATATATATATATATATATATATATATATATATATATATATATATGTGTGTGTGTGTGATTGCGGAGGTATATTTAAGTAAGGTCCGCACATATAGGTAATATGTCTCTACGTATATATCTGTCAGTGTGCGTTTGTAAACATATCTATTTTGATGAGTGAATATGTGTGAGCATTTAAAAAAATATTCACATAATATTAGGCAAAGGGAAAATAATATGCACACACACACACACATACGTATACGTCTTACGGCAAAATAGCTTTAAAGCACTGGATCATGCCCGATCACCGGAGTTACATAAAGGTGAGACAGGTCAGTACCTGGATCGTTGACCGCTTGGGAAACCAGTTACTGTAGGGTTTTTTTTTTATTTCTATTCAAGTCAATAAATATAATACAATCAAAAAATCAGCTTCTTTAACATAGCGTCTACTGAAGTAAATGCAACCACTAAAACATAAAGTTTAAAGTGATAAAACTAATCCAGGGTTAAAACTAAAATAAAAGAAAACCATAGAAACTATATGTTCATATTTCGAATAAAAAAATAAAGTTGGCACACAAGATGGCGACTGATGTTGCATTTAGATATTTGAAGATTGTAGGTGAACCAAGAGAATGAAGAAACCTCTAGAGGAGAGAAGTGCAATAATAGAAAATATTATAATAGTAGACACGGGTTCATTTAGCTAGTGCAACAGTAAAATAGTGACAACGGTTATCGAATCTATAAGTACGCTAAGGTTTGTGCAGTTAAGGCAGCAAAGTGTAAAAGGTCATTTAGATGGTGACAAAGGGCAGATGTTTAGATCCAGGTGGCCCTATAGATAGATACAAAAAGTAAAACAAAGAGATTTTGTTTGATTCAGATGAATAAGGTATCAGGTTGATAGGCTATAGTTGAATACGATAGATCTGAATTGAGAAATATGTCAAGAGTCTGCCATACATAGTAGAATGGCTGGGCGATCGTCCTCAATATCAGAGACACAATGTAGTGTGTATGTAAATATAAAAGTCGATACTGTGGTCAACACCACATACTTGAACGCAATCTTCATGGCCAGAAGATTACGTTAAAGTAAATCTCTCTCTCTCTCCCTCTATATATATATATATATATATATAATGTTGTTATGACCAACAGCCTACCTTCCGACCTCCTTCACAAACGGAGGTTGAAAATCCTAATTGCATAAAAAACAATGAAAATCTTACATTATCCCCTCTCTCGCTCTCTCTCTCTCGCTATATATATATATATATAATTTCGGAAGCCATTTATATAAGAGAATTGCGGCCAAAATTAAATAAAGTCATCTCCGAGTATAGAAAGTTTCTTAAATGTTAGGAGCAGGAAAGTTTTATATAAAAAAATACTAAACTAAAATACTACAATTAAATATCTTTTAAAACATAATATAAGTTACCTCCCTTGCATAGCGGTGGAAAAATAGTTTGATTTTACGGAGTTAACGCATAACACATTTATAGATAAGCAACCGCTGAAGATGGTCTCAGTTGAGATTGAAAGTACGTGGGGAAATAAAGATTATTTGAAAGAAATATTTGCCATTTTTCTTAAACAATTTTCTACAACCACAGAGAAATTAATTCGTGGACTTGAAAAGATTAAGACTAAAATAAACAGACACAATATGTTGAAATGATATAACCTAACATGATTGAATGAAAATATACAACCTAAATATACATACATACATACACACACAGAGACACACACATATATATATATATATATATATATATATATATATATATATATATATATATATATATATATATATATAAGAGCGAATGAGATTGGGATATATGTAAGGAAATATATAGATATATATAAGAGCGAAAGAGATTGGGATATATGTAAAAAAATATATATATATATATATATATATATATATATATATGTGTGTGTGTGTGTGTGTGTGTGTGTGTGTGTGTGTGTGTGTGTGTGTGTGTAGTTTATGAAAAACTAGGTAATCCGTATGGGTAAATCTAAGGAGGATAAAATCCAGAGAGCTCAATGTAAATCCAGAGCAAATAATTTAAATAAAAACAGACCACTTTAAGGTTCCATGTAATAAATTATCTCACCACAGCCCTTTTTAAAAGGACTGCGGATCATCAGATTTTACTTCCAAACAAAAATGAAAAGAAAATTTACACATTTTTGACGGGCCGTATTAAACATATGTAAATTAACGAAGTGAGGAAGTGAGGGGGGGGAGAGAAGACATGATGAGTTAGCAGATATTGACACATTTAAACGGTTAACTTAACGGAAGTTATATGTGAAATCGAAGGGGTAGAGAAGAAAAAAACTCATGGAGAGAAAAGAGAAGAGAAGATGTCACTAATTTCTTTGTAAAAAGCTAGAAACAGACGCTGTTATTTTGCTTTACTTTAAAAGTGTTATTTTGGGGTTCATAAGTTATATATATATATATATATATATATATATATATATATATATATAGAGAGAGAGAGAGAGAGAGAGTGGGGTTGAGAAATAGATAGATATCAAAAGATAGTAATTGGCACATAGGTAAATAAATATTAGAACTATATACCTTCATTCCTTTTCCAAGAGCAGTATGCTAAGTGAACATCCTTGGCCATTAGACAACCTCAAGATTCGTTTCAAGTTTACATTACGTTGATCATTACGAATTAAGCTGCACATCTTCATTAATTGGTGTCTTTTGAACAAATAATAGAAAGCAAGTTCAAAAATACGAGTTTTCTTTGTACTCGAGATGACTTTTAAAAAACTATTCTCAAATATGTTTATTTTAAAAAAAAATATTTATTTGTATTTTTCTACACAACTTACAAAGACTTTTTTTCTATGCAATATCGCTTTTACGGATGTACAATCTGCATTGTTCTCTCAACATTGGATATTTACGATTGTGTTTCAATTGAATTTTCGTTCGCTGCAATTCGGGATTATTTCGTAATATTTCATAGGATTTGATTTCCTGGCCTTGTCAGATTTAACGGAGAAATTCAGTGCATCAAAGGGGCATTCATTTGCTAATCCCCAAAACATCTTGACATTTTTTCGTTGTACCAGAATGTACGAAGACCATTCATAAAGTACTGGCCATTCTTCTTTTATTCCCAGCATATATAA